TTCCCCCCCCACACTGAGGGAAACCACTGGTGCAGGGAAGCCTGCCCTGGGGCCAACACCCCCTGCGCGCGCCTCCCCCGGGACTGACTCACCCCTCCTGTGTGGTGCAGGGAGCCAATGCTCCCTCCCGCAGTACACCCGGTAGAGCAGCTAGCGCACTTCCAGAATCACCGGAAGTGGTGCTAAGCTGCGGGACTTGTGTCCATCCCTGGGAAGCTGACACTACCTCCATTTTCACTTGAGGTAGGTAGTGGGGCTTCTCGGGGGTGGGAGGGAAATGGGGACGGGACTGACAGGATGCCTCACGATCGACTGGTCGAGGCCTCGCAATAGACCAGTTGATCGCAATCGACCTGTTAGTGACCATGGGCCTAGAGTAGGGGTGTAAAATCCTATTTAAAAAGTTAACCAGTTAAATATTGTTTAACTGATTATCCAGGATTCGACAGGTAGGGGGTGCTTCAGCTCAGCCAGGTTGCCAGTTAATCACTTACCTGGTAAGTATCACCCAGTAAGGGTGATGCTTACTGGGTAACTGGTTAACCCTTTACATCCTTAGACTAGTCTATCACCTCCCTTTGCCCCCCTAACCTCCTTCCTCCCTCCAAACTGCATAATTCAGCTTGAAATAAGAGATCTTTTCATAAACTAAGGAAATGAGCATTTCCTGCTACTGAAAAAGAGGTTAGAAAAGAACGTATCTGCATCTGCCTGCTCTGCTCCTTTTTGATGTAAAGGCCTGTGAGGTTTTCCCTGCAGATCCCTCATTAAGACTCTAGAACAGGTCTATGCAAAATGTGGCCCGTGGGCCAGATCTGGCCTGCCAAGCCTCCAGATCCGGTCCATGGAGGCAGTGGGGAGCTCCAGGCAGCTCCCCAGCTTGCCCCACGTGCCATTCAGAAAAGTGGCTGTAGGCCTCTGTCTTGAAACTGGAGGGGAAGGGGGAAGTTTTAGAAGCCATCCTGGCCACAGCCTGCTTTTAGCACCCCAGCCCTTTCCTGCCCCCAACTCTCTACGCCCTCCCCTCCCACACCATTTGACATACTCAAATCCTCTCCCACTCTTACACCCATACCCCCTTCCAGATCTAGCACCCTAGTCTCCTGCCCCAGATCACAATCCCCTCCTACCCTAGGTGACATCCCAAACCCGTGCACTCCAGTTCCCTGCCCTAGGTCACAACTGCCTGCTTCATCCCAACTCCCTGCCAGACCCCAGTCTCACTTTTGCACCGAAACCTCCATCCCAGACCCCGCATCTCCATTAATACCATGATAGTGTGGCTCCCGACCACCTTCCAAAATCTTGGAGTGGTCTCCCCCTCCCCCCCATCAAAAATTATTGCCCACCCCTGCTCTAGAAAAATTAAAGATAACAACCTCCACGCAGCTTACTCCAGGTTTAACACTGGGCCCTCTGTGTGTGTTAGGACAAGACTGAGCATTCTTGTTGGTGCTAAATAAATTCACACATGATAGAGACATGAAGTTGAAAACATTGGTGTGAAGCTGAATTCATCAAACCAAAGAGCTTGCAGTAACCTGGGACACTAGAAGCTTTAGCATTACTACTTTTAGGGGCAGCCATTGTCCTGTGGCATCTTAAAGACTAACAAATATAGTTTTGTTAGTCTTTGAGGTGCTGCAGGACTCTTTGTTCCCAAACAGTCGTGCTAATACAACAGTCTTGGAGGGGGAAGGGTGTCCTCTTTCCTCCTCAGACACAATCCAGTTCTTTGTGAAATCTAGGTCACTATTTAGCAGTAATAATATAGAGGTATCTGAATTCTTCCTCTGCTTTCCATGGTGCCCAAGCTAAAGTCCCCTCTGTTGCTATGCTGGACACTGATTTATGAGCTCTCCCTTTTGCCTTTTAGGCAATATGATCTGCGAGAGAACAGCAAACGCTCAGACGTCCTGATAGACCTGACCGAATACTGTGGGCAGCTGGTGGAGGCCAAGTGCCTAACTGTCAACCCTCAGGATAACAATTACCTAGCGGTGGGAGCCAGTGGGCCCTTCGTACGGCTCTATGACATACGCATGATCCACAATCACAGGTAATGGCAACCATCACTCATAGGACCTTCTCAACAGGGAAGTGAGTAGTACGAGACCTGAAAGAGGCCTTGCACGGTAGGAATGGGGCATCTAGAGGAGCTGGCAATCCTCCTCAGCTGTGCAATGGTACTAAGTTTTCCTCCCCCAGTGTCCCTTACACACAGGTAAGTGGAATTGCCCAACATTCTTGTGGTGGAACTGCCTAGCATTCTTGTGCATTCTTTTTCCTTGCAAGTCAGAAAGCATATCTCAGGCAGTTGACTTCAGGCAGTGCAGCATTGTAATCCTAAACCCACTTTCCTTTCTGGCTAGAAAAAGCATGAAGCAGAGTCCTTCGGCGGGAGTCCACACCTTCTGTGACCGGCAGAAACCCCTTCCGGATGGTGCAGCACAGTACTACGTGGCAGGTACAACTGCTGCTCTGATGTGACCACTGTTTCTATCAGGCAGTGCCTAGGAGCCAGAATCACTAATGAGATGCCTATTGTAGGAGTCTTTGTACATGCAGCACCAACATGCCGTCCCAAAAACCACCTCTGTGCAAGAGAACTTACAATCAGTTGCTATTAGCACCGGTTATCGTATTATGAAAATTGGGACTGTCCTGCTTTGCTATACTGATGCATTGACTAACCTGCGGAGGGACTGGATGGCTATAGCTCCTTTCTCAAGTGTGGGTTGAGTACATCACCTGACGTAAACTGCACATGGATTTGGCCTAGAGGTGTTCATGTTGGCCAGTTGATGTGAAGAAGTTGCTCTCGATGCTCTTACACCACAGGTATCCCCTTTTAGACAGTTTCATTGGAGAGTCAAGAACTAAATAAACCACAGATTATACATTGCCCTCTAGAAGGGAAAGCATTTGTGGTACAATGTGAGAGGAAAGTTGGCCTCTTTTACTTAAGGATGTGAATGACTAGTCGACAAGCAAATGCTTATCAGATAGTCGACAGGATAGTTGACTAGTCACTCCCCAGAGAGAAGCAACAAGGGGGGGAAGAGGAGGGGGTACCTCAAAGCGGCAGCGCCACACAGAACCCGGGGTCGAGAACTCTAGGGCTGTTGCTACACTTCAAAGTTGGAGGTGCCCTATTGACTAATCGAATAGTCGATGCAAAAATGCATCGACTATTTGATCAGTCAATATTTAACATCCTTACTTTCAATATCTCTCAGGGAGACTTGGCCACCAGATTTTCTGTTCCCTTCACTAGCTCTAATCACCCCCCCATCCCGCCAAGCCCATAATATGGATTGGTCCTAACCACTGTATTAAAACAGTGTGAAAACGGTCGGTTAGGCCAGGAAACAGTTCCATTAAAAAGAATAAGAATTGTGTCCCTGGCAAGCCTTATTTCTAAGAAGGTCTCACCATAGGATAGGGTTCCTTAATTCCTTAATCCTTCTTTGTTAGACTAGAAAAATGTTGAATGCCATCTGAAGTGAAAGAACCCATGTGGGGGTTGAGCACTTTAATTGCTGTGTGTCCAAGAAGCCCATGTTTTGATGTGCCAATGAGCCAAGACACACAGAACCATTAGAGCTGAAAAAAACCTATGTTCAAATGGAATCTTTCGTGAATTGGGAAACGGCTGACTCCCGTGAATGGCCGGAGTGTCAGGATATTTTCACTGAAGCAGTGTGTTGGCTGCCTCTGGATCCTAGCAGGATAGCAAACATGTTCTTAAGGGGCTGTTCCTTTACACCTGGGCACAGCCAAGCAGAAAGGCCCTGAACACGTGGCCGAGTAAGTTTCAGAGCAAGTAGTCTTGCCTTGGGTTAGAACCTTTCAGACTTATTATATATCCCAATAGAAAACTGGGAAATAGCTTGAAATGTGACTACATTTCATTCATGTATCTCTTTGAGCAGACTCCAAAACACCTAGTGGCCAGTGAGGAGCAGATGATGACCAGGGGCTACCAATTAAGCAAGGGAGCTGTAACTTGGTTTCTTTCCTTTCTGCAGGGCACCTTCCAGTGAAGCTCCCCGACTACAACAACCGACTGAGAGTTCTAGTAGCCACATATGTCACCTTCAGCCCTGATGGGACAGAGCTATTGGTCAATATGGGAGGGGAACAGGTAGGATCTTAAGTGAAGTTCAGTAATAAGTGTTTTATATAAGACTGAATTAGTTGGGTCACGATGTTTTGACTCAAACTGCAGAGAGTAATGTCAGGGTGTTTTGCCCTGAGCTATTTGTGCATGTCTGTAATACAGTTTGATTTAAGTGGCTGGTGTATTAGATTTATTCATTTGTTCCCCTCATACATCAGCGATAGGTGTAGTGTTAGACTTAAATATCATTTTCATTCTAGTTTTGCAGTTGACGTTTGCCTGTCTGCAAGAGCTGCAGAAATTGTTTCATGACTGACCAGGAAACCTGCACTAACTCCTATTTTGCTGCCTCTGGCTAGTTCTAGCGGAGGAAGCACTTTCTCCTCCCACAGAGGCAATGGCTTGCACCTACTAAGCATTTGATGAAATTCATGGATGTCTGTAAAGTAAGGCTGTAAAAGACTAGTCGACTATCCCATAAGCATTTGCTTATTGGAAAGTATTTTGACTAGTCAACTAGTCGATATATTTCCCCCTCCCTCAATCCTTTGCTGTCTCTAAAATCCCCAGGTGGCTTTTCAAAGGGGTAACTGCTGAACAACTGATCCATGGATCAGCTGTACGGCGGCTGCCTCTTTAAAATGTCACCTGCTGCCATTCAAAGGGGCAGCCATGGAACCCGGGTCATCTGGGGACCTGCAATCAGGTCATGGGCCCAAGGACAAATGGTTCAAGTAGCCACTTGTATAATGTGATGTCTACATTTGTAGACTTTTTTTTTTTTTTTAAATCCTGGTAACACCGTAGCTGAAACTTTTGTGCCCTTACTAACCATTTAGTCACTGTCAATTTCTTGCTTGTATAGCGTGTTTGGTATCAAGGGGACTTTATTGCCATTAGTTTAGTAGAACTGGTACCAATTCTTTCTGGACCTCTTACCTGGTCCTAGCGCTGCTACTGCCATCCTTTTGTCTCCTTATTGGATGCATGTCTATACACATTCTACCAAACTGTACAGCTGGGTGTTGTGTCCTGCTCATCACTATGGTATCACCTACAGTGCACTCAGTCCTTGGTGTCTCTCCCATTGCCTTGTAGGTCTACTTGTTTGACCTGACTTACAAACAGCGACCGTACACTTTTCTCCTGCCAAAGAAGTGCCACTCTTCAGGGGGTAAGTGTGGTGCGGTGTGGGAAGTGAGAGAGAGAGAGAGAGAAGCATAGCAAAGCCATGTGTGGCACGATTCCGTTTTCCAGTGTGAAATCTGAGCTGGGCAGGAACTGGGAAAGTGAATTAGGACAGTGCAGTAGCAGGGATTTTTCTGCAGTGCTGTAAGGGCTATAGTGTCTAAAGCCCTTCTACAGAGCAATAAAACAGGTGCCTAATAAGCAGAAGTCCCTGAAATACCCAAAAATATGTAGGGGTTCTTCAAATTCTGCCTAAAGAGTAAGGGATGGTTTAGTGCAGTGGTGGGCAACCCTGCAGCCTGAGGGCCACATACAATCCATTGGGCTTCTGTGTGTGGCCCACAAGACATTTTATTTACCACTGCCCATGTGCAGATTCAACTGGCTTCTGTCCATGTAGATTGGTTTTCCTACCGGTATTGCCAAAGTGTTGATGGCACCCAGCATTGTCTGACTGAGAACCATGTGCTCCCTCTGCAGCCAATCCAAGCACTGCTACTGTTCAGTCAGCACATTCCACAAATGCTAGATACACAAGCAGCGTTAGCAAAACTCCCTTGCGGCCCACTGAGGTGAAGGAGAGCCACTTGCGGCCCATTCACTAACCTAGGTTGCCCGTTACTGCCTTAGTGTCTTCAGACAGGGTCAGTTTCAGACTGCTGGTCTTCCTTTTACTTCCTTACCCAAAGGTACCTCCAACTGAATGGTACCTAGAGGGAAGTAAGACTTGAGTAGCCTTGTTCCTTAACTCTATCCCCTCCGCTGCACTTGCAGCAAACAAACTCCACCTTGGAGAACAGAAATTTGAGGCAAAGGCTATGCTGTGACAGTCTAGCCTGCAGAAGGCACCTGCACACAGAGGTGAAAGTAAGCCAGTGTGCCTTGGTGTGGCACTCTGGCAAGAAACCTGCCAGAGCTGCAGAGGGCGGGGCAGCGTGTTCCCTGCCTGGCTCCCGGGCCTGGCTCCCGGGGCTTCCTGTTTGCTGCCACAATCAGCGACAGGCAGGTTAGAGGGGCTGGCTGGAGAGTCCCACATCCCGGAGTGCCCCAGTCCTGAGTCCCCTCCACCTCCACTGCCATTTGGGGGATGAAGGGGATGCAGCCACACATTACTGGTTCCTCTTGCTCCTGGCTGCCCGGGGGAGGGGCAAGGGAGGAACGCGGCAGGCTCTGCAATTTCCCGTCACTCGCTGAGAGTCCAAGGAAGCAGGAAGGAGAAGAAAAGCAACATGTGTGGACTGCTGCTGCAGGCCCCTGCGCCCCTTGCCCTGAATCCTGCAGGCCCCCACATCCTTCCTGCTCTGAGCTTCCCTCATCTCTCTGCCCTGACCCGCTTGCATGTTGCCCTAATTCCTGGATTTTCAAACCTTCACGCCCCGAGCCCCCCACCTTTACTCCATCCCACACTTGAATTTCTCACAGGTTCTGTCGTATCACGCACACACCTCGGGGGGGAAGAGAGGGGGGAATAAGACAATATCTGGAAGAAATGTACATTACTTTCACCGTTGCCTGCACGTAGTTTCTCCATACCCAATCTTTTGGCAGTCTCAGGGGAGTCTGTACTGTTGTTCATGCTCCAAGCTATTAAGGTTGGTGTTGGTCACCTTACATACTCAAGCCACAAGTAACTCCTCTGATAGCAGTTAGTTGCATACAGGAGCAGCAACCAACAGACAAGCTGGCTAGGAAGTAGAAACGAACCTCATCAGAGCTAAATTAATCCTTAGAATTGGTAGCCAAATAAAAAATCACTGCCAAGAGGACCAGTGGAAGTGAGGGCAGGATTGAGAGCCAAGAGCTCATGGATTCAAATTCAGACATAAATTCCCCTCTGACTTCAGTGATGTCCCTCCCTAGCCCATTTTTCCCCCCACCTCCTAATGTGAGGCAAGCACTAGTGTCTTCAAACAATATTGCCATGTTGGTGTTCCAGTGAGCTTCTAAAATGTGAAGGTGAAGTTAAAGCTCCAGGTATGGTGGCAGTACCTGTTTGCTCTTTGCCGCCTAAGGATTAAATGGAGATGTTCTGTCTCTCACCTTCATAAAAATGTAAAATCTAATCTGGCTAGACTGCAGCCCACATGGCGTCCAGTCACCATGCTTTCTTCTGTAGCATCTCGCTCCACATCCACCTTCCTTAGCGTCACAGTGTCTTGCTTTAACTCAACTTATCAGTGTGTATTTTAGTCACTTATAAAAGCAGAAGGCTAGCTGGGGCAGTGTAACTCAGTGAGGTGGCTGAAATAGCCATTCTATAACCTTAGAACCTCTACGAATCAAATGAAAATACAGTGGGTCCTGGCTTGTGCCAGGCCCAATCTGCTGACTGGTTCTGAATACCTTTATCTTGTCCCCCATTTTATGTGGGAATAGGGAGGCAGGAAAAGATTGGAGAAGTGCTAGATGTATTCATCTTTCTTGCTTGGGAGTTCTGTTGTGATGGATCCAGTAGAGTATTTGTAGCTGATATCTGAGGGGGTCAGCCAATCCTGCCCAAGACTTATATTTTCATATATTTTGAGGTAGGCACCATACTCGCTGAAGTCAGTGGAGTTGTAGTTACAAGTCTGACAAGCCCACGGAGGTGTGAAATCCATAGCTGGATTTTATTCTCCATTTTACTGAATTTTTTTTCTTACACTCTTCCTCCCATTCCCCCCAGAAGTGCAGAATGGAAAGACATCAGCCAATGGAGTGTCAAACGGCATCCATCTCCACAGCAATGGATTCAGACTGTCTGAGGGAAGAACACCTCTCAGGTGAGGTGACACATTTGTTTGGCCGAGGTGCCCTGGTTCTGCCCTGTGCCCCCAGTGAGAGCCATAGCTACTGACGCAGGTGTGAAGTGGAATTCTTTGTTTACTAATGCAAAGATTGCACAAGGAGCTCTGTTCTGGGATTCACTCAACTGCTGGAGGTAAACCGGCTACAAACAGGAGCCAGGTAAGGCCAGAGCCAGATGGGGAAATCATGGCCATCAGGATCTTTCTCTTTTTATGTTTGTGGTGAATTATTGCTGATTTAAATCCACAGTTGGCCTATCACATGTGGAAACCAACCTCTTTTACTTATCCGTAGCTCAGTCTCTTTCCTAACCTGAAAGAACCATGTTTGAGGGGTGGAGGGCAGCATGGGCTGTCTCAATGGTCCATGCTGCCCTTCTCTCCTTTGCTGGTAATAGGATCTGTTGGGATGGGGGCACTTGTTTGCTGTGAAATGATTTGGCAGCCTCTGTTCACAGAACAACACTTGGAGGGTCATGACTCAATCATGATCATCCCGGCCTGGATTTGAATGGGTGACTGGGTTGAATAAGTCTTTGCCATTACCAAAATATACCCTGCTTCTCTCTCTTTTGTAGTTGGGAAAGTAGAGGCAGACTTTTGAAGTTTAACACGTCTGGTTTTGGGGGAGTCCTCTAGATTAAGGTGCTTCATCAGCAATCTTTTAAAATGTCAAATAGCTGGTTAGTGCAGTCAGGTGAGCTAGCTTATTTGACTTTTTAAAAGAATGTTGTAGCTGAATGCAGACTTGAAACTCAAAAAAAATACTGGTTATACAGTAGAACTTGTGGAACTTGCAAGCTGTGGATGAAACAAGGTGATACCTAGTAGATTTCAAGTAGAGTTTAAATATGTCATATCGATAACAGAAGCACCAATTGTTACATTGTAGTCTACTATATATTCAAGAGGCTTGGTTTTGTTTGAGAGGGAGCGAGTCCGTCTGTTCAAGAACTCCTTGCTGTTACTGAATTTAGTAATCCTCTTAAACAGAATGCAGCTTCCTCTTATCGTAACTTAAAGTGAAGTAAGTGTTTGGTTGTGCAGGGGGGGCATGCATAAAACCACACAGAAAAGAAACCATCACCAGGCAGGTGAAAAGGGCTGGCTTGGGGCACCTCCAGGGACCTTTTAGGGAGGGCAGGGGAGGTTGAAGCTCCCTCCTTCCCCAGTTTTGTACAGGAACATAGCTGTTCCCCCTCAATCAGGGAGTGAGGGGGAAATGCACAATCTATTCCTCTGCCTCCAAGTTCCTCAGCCAGAATGGAACCTGGACCTGCCCCAGCTAGGGGACATGCACCCTTCCCCTGGCTATGCCCGCCAGAGCTGCAGCAGCCATGGAGAGGTGATTCTCACTTAGCCCTAACCTGCTGCAGTGAGAGCCAGCTGGGGCAGTCCTCTCAGGATATGTCTACACTACAGTGTTATTTCAAAATAGTTATTTTGAAATAGTTTATTTCGAAATAACGTGTCTGCACACAAAATGCATTTTGAAATAGTGCATCCACACTGAGTGGACTCCGAATCACATTTAAGGCTGGCCAGAACCAGTTCCGGCAGGGCACCAGATCAGGACTTACTGTGTAGGGCTGCTGCCTGAAGCTAATTGACATCTGTGCTTAAAGCCGCCCCACAGCATACTCTGCAACATGGAGCCAGAGCTGCCTCTAGGCAGTCAACGGTGGTTGGAGAAGGCACAGGGCATCTCCAGAGTGTTGCAGAAGCTGCACACTGGCACATTGTTTCCTGCCTAGGCACCCTGGTGCTTCTCTTGGACACGTTGCTGTGAGCCTGGCTGCACTTTCTGCAGGCTGCCATCTGGGAGGTCCATTGGGGGGCTGTCAGTATCCAGGAGGCCCTGCAGGAGAGCTTCCACCCTGAGGAGCACTAAGAGCCTCCCTGGTCTGCCCCCACTGTGGGCTTGTGCCTCATTCCTCCCTCATGTCCTTCCGCTTACTCCTCCCTAACCCCCCTTCCTGGTGTCATGAAAATACATGTATTTTATTTGAACACAAACTCTCTTTATTTAACAAAACTGGGGGGGGAGGGAATGAAACTCTGGTGAGACTGGGGAAAGGAGGCGGGAGAGGGGAGAGGAGGGAGAAACCTGGGAGGAGGGAGCTGGAAGGGGGAAGCAAGGGGAAGAAGGGGGAGGGGAAACTCAGGGCTCGGGGTTGGGGGTCTCGCCGGACCAACTTGATTGTCATGCAAACCTGCTCCTGGGTTCGCATGTGGCCTTCGGCAAGATAGCTGCCAGCCTGGCCACCATAGGCGGCCGTGTGACTGGGGTGGGGTCTACTCCATTGATTCTCAGTGCAATGGAATTCATCTGTTGGAAGTCTGTTTGGCCAGGTTTAATCTCTTCAGTGTTACCATAGTGATTGTAACCCCATGCCTGTCCATCCCTGTAGTCCCCAGATGGAGCTGCCTCCATACCTGGAAAAAATAAAGCAGCAAGCCAATGAGGCATTTGCATGCCAGCAGTGGACTCAAGCCATCCAGCTGTACAGCAGAGCAGTTCAGAAAGCACCCAACAACGCCATGCTGTATGGAAACAGAGCTGCTGCCTACATGAAGCGCAAGTGGTAAGTCAATTGGAGCTACTTTTGTGGAAGGCTAACACAATTGTGTGCTGTCAAATGCCCTTTACCAAAGGGCTGGGGCATCATAGCTACACAAAGTTTCGGGCTCTGGACTTGGATGACCCAACAGAGTTCCTTTCTCATGGGTGCCATTGCTCGCAGCAGGGCTTCTTGCCACATTTTGCTGCAGAGTGGGGCTCATCTAATTGGATAAAACCTACCATGCAACATAAAGGTTAATTACAGATTTGTGAATGTTGGAGACTGGTTCCTGATAGTGTCTGCTCACAAGATGCTGTTGTTAGTTCACCCCATTGCTCACTGGTACACTGTGTAGCTTGCTGTTTTTTTGTAAAAAGAAAGCTATAAACGCATGTGTGTCAAGCAGGTTCAGTAGCTCTGTGATCTGATATAGGGAACAATCCAATGGAAGGACTCCTAGACATCTATCCCCTGAGGAGAGAGGGGTCATGTTGCTCATCTGGTTCAATCCTTGTACTTGCCTTAAAGCCCACAACCCCTTGCAGGTTAGTTGTAGACTCCCACTGCTAGCCTAATCCAAATCACCATCTCTGGAAAACTTACCCAGACTACATCTAACATGAGGTGTATCCGTTCTGGCTATTACCTGAACTAGCCACATCTATCACACTGTACGCTACCTGGGATTCTTTCAGTGATGCTGCAGGGTTATGGTAAATGCTTTGGGTGCTGCCAAAGGCTGTATCTGACCCGCTGCTGAATGCGTACTGCTAGCATCTGCAGTGGTTAACATCCCTTCTGACAGCAGCCAGGGCTGCTCTCATAAAATGGCAAAACTGTTTAGCCAGGCATTCATGCATGCACAATCTCACCTTGTCCGTCTGTCTGCCCAAGAAGTAGGGCCATTGAATGAGACTTACTATCCACGTATTTAAAATCGGGATGTAAGTGACTAGTTGACTACCCAATAAGCATATGCTTATCGAGTAGTCACTTAACTAGTCACTTCCCCATCCCCTTGTTGCCTCTATCAGAGGGGTGGAGGAGCAGGAGCCAGTGCTGGGGGAACGGGGGAGGCACCAGCTTAAAAGCTGGTTCCTCCCAGCACCATCTCTATGGGGTGGGGCAGAACAGGGGAGGCAGAGGTGTAGCCAGGGGACCAGGCATGAGTCAGGAGCTGATTCCTGGCATGTGCTCGGTGCCCCACGCACACACCTGCTGCGCCTCTTCCTTTTACATTATTAAGAGCTTGGCGGTTCTTAATACGTTTAAAAGGCAGAGCTGTAGCGGGGTTAGCTCTGCATTTTCCCCCTATTACTGACTAATTGAGTAGTCAATGGAAATTCCATCGACTACTCGATTAGCTGATTAAATGCAATTTAAAAATCCTAATTTTTAAAATACTTGCGATCTCTATTGCTGAGAGCACAGCTTGGGAGCAGCCTCAGAAGGATGTAAAAACCAAGGAGGGAGAAGTCTCTTGGGTGGTGGAATGGAATGGTAAAAGGGAAAACCTAGGTTGAGCCTTGAGGCAAATTTAATTAGTGAGGTGTTTAAAAAAAATGATCCTCTTCACTAAGGAAATAGGATGGCTCAGTTGATGGGCACATCTGACATTATACTGGGCCAAGGTGAATAGCAGGATATTTCTTGAGCTGGGAAGGTGAACAGTTAAAGCTCCAGCATGTTTCCTTAATGTGTGATTGTGACAGGATACCCAGAGTGCAACTTGGACCATGAACCACCAAACCCACCATCCTGGACTGTCTCTCTCACTGTGGTATTAATAGGCACTGCAGTTGTTCAGCCAACCGCAAGCAGGGATGCACCCAGCCATGTTACATGATTGTCCAGCTACTCAGGACCTATCAGAGAGGCACTTTGCACCCCAGAAATATACCATCCTGCACTACTCCAGGTTCCCCTGCATTGTGCAAATTCCTCAATAAATTTGCTGCTGCTTCATAGGAAAGTAAGACGTGCTCTAGCCTTTGTAACCTGAGCTCAGATACCCTAAAGCACTTCAGCTAAAAACACATTGTTTTGGGCAAAATGTAAAACAGATTAAGGACAGAAGGAGGTTTTAAGTGGTTATAAGTAGCAGGCGTAGAGGTCTACACTGGCCTCTTGAATTTGTGCAAGAGCACTGACTTTGTAATGTACAAAATCAGTGCTTCTTGCACAAATACTTTCACGCTCCCACTCGGGAAAAAGCCCTCTTGCGCAAGAATACTGTTTTGTGCAAAAAAGCCCCAATGGCTAAAATGGTGATCAGGGCTTTCTTGCGCAAAATCGCATCTAGACTGGCCACGGATGCTTTTGCACAAAAGCATCCGTGCCAATCTAGACGTGCTTTTGCAGAAATACTTTTAATGGAAAAGTTTTTCCATTAAAAGTATTTCTGCAAAATCATGCCAATCTAGACTCAGCCCTACACTACAGAGAAGCCTCGAAATTAGTCTTGAGGCAGGCTTCCCTAATGTGGATGTGCTACCTCTAATTGGGGGGGGGAGGGGGGGGAGAATTTACTTTGAATGGCCCTAGGGAAGGAGCTATTTTGAAACAGCAGCAGTGGCACTTCCATGCTACTGCTATTCCAAAATGGCTGTTTTGGAAGAAGCGTTATTCCTCATGGAATGAGGTGTATAGTTTTTGAAATAAGTGGTGCATTATTTCGAAATTATTTTGAAATAACAGAATTGCTGTGTAGACGCTCGCACTGTTACTTTGAAGTAACTGAGCTGTGTAGATGCACCCGTATAGAAAGAGGAAGGCTTTGGATTGTAAGGTCTTAGCTTGTCCCTCACTCTCCCTAAAACTACTGCTTATGCTCAATAGCTGTGTTTCAAACCAACATTCTGTCCCTTTGAATCTGAAAACCCCCCAGTTTGCACTTACAGGAAAACTTTCCTAAGCAACCAGTTTAAATACAAAGCTTTTGAGCTTGCATAAAATCTTGTAACACTGGGGGAAGGAAGCTACTACTTTGGAATAGCAAATTCTTGATAACCGATCCTTCTGGCTGTTTCTGGTTTGACCATGAAGATTGAAGCATTTTTGGAATGCTAGAGAAGTTAACAGCAGAACTAGCTCTTTAAAATACCAAGAACCCTACTCTGTCTCTACTTCACATAATGCTTTGTGGTCAAGTCTAGAATAAGTTTTGTAAAGGCCTGATTTGAGCAGGGGAACCTGCATCCACTGCTGAATTGACAGCGTGATGTTTCTGAAGGTGTAGTTGCTTCTGACTGTGTATAAACGTGCTAAGTGCTCTGTTTGTGTGAATGCAGGTTCTGCTGCTAATTTCACAGATAAGCCACTTAACCTTTCACTACCACCCTCTTCCAGCTGTAATGTAGGGGCCAGTATTCACTTACCTCACAAGAGTTGACACTTTATGGGCTAAATTCAGGCAGGTGCAACTTCATTGTTTACACAGTCTGAAATGAATCCAATGTTTGCTAAGTGCTTTGATTTTTTTTTTCTTTGCAGTAGAAGTTGCAGGTGGTAATACGGCTGGCAGAACTGTTGGTCTGCAAATATGGCTCCACAAATAAGAAGCCTCTGGGCTGACGACCTGCTTCCTAATTCCATTCAGTAGCAATCAGTCTCTTACCTCCCACAGCCCTCTTAGGCCCCCCTCAAAGTTTGGACTTGTGGGCAGTGCTGTGCTGTTGTAGCAGGGATGGCAAAAAGACATGTCTATGGTTGGGTTCATCCCGTAAAGCTGGTGGCCTTGTGCCCCTCTTCCCTTAGGGGTCAAGTTGGATGGGGTAGCCTTGCTCTTCCAAGTGCCACCCATACGAGTCCCCAAAACGGAGTCAGACTGTGCAGATACTATTTTTAAAAGTGCATGTTCTGACTGGGCTGCTTGACTCTGTCAGCCGACGGTTAGGGCAGTGTGTGTGTGTATGTTTCCGAGAAAAGGTTTAACGTCCGTGTCTTTACTGCTAGGACCGGGGTCCCATCGCAGAGGGTGGCCAGCAGGCCAACAGACGCCCCGAGTTTATAGGAAGAGCTTATTACGCTTCAGATTTTAGCTGCTAGAATTTCATAATTCCTTCGCAGCGGGCAGCCTCGGGGAGACTGAGAAGCGCCCCAACTGAATTTTGCCACCTGGGTGTGACACAAATCCAAACGCCCAAGCTCTCCCTATATCTGTCCCTTTATGACCGGCTGAAGTTCTTTTAAATTGTGCTTGGTTCTGTTACAGCAACTGAAGGAGTCAGGTTAAAGCTTAAACAGTTACAGGTTTATTGAGGAAGCTTATAAATCATATGGTTACAATGGCTATTGCTCTATTTCTTAACTATTAGCAAAATATAGGTCTTAAAAATGGTTACAAAGAAGATAAAGATAGAAAAATAGAAATAATGGTACCAAGTAACAGCTTACTCTTTCTATGTGTACACTTAAGACAGAGGACCACATCCAGGTACCATTTTTACCCCCTTCTGTGCCTCTCAACTCCAGCATGTCAGGCCAGGGCCGGTCCCTCAATTCCTAGGAAAGACGAAAATACGAGGTGGGCGTCCCCATAGAACCTCGGGAGGTCAAACACCTAACCCGACCAGCAGGTAGAGGGTAGAATGACACTCAAAGTGAGTGTGTGCTGGGCCCATCTTTTATAATCATGAGGTCACGTATTTCTCTTTCTTATCTGTCATGCCAATTGATGCTGGTCTGTCTGCTGTGAGACCAGTTCTTACAAGGGAGTTGTGAACTTAATTTACACTTGTAAGAGAGAATTGAGATGATTAAATTTTGAAGTACTGGACATTGTTTTCTCAGTGGGAAATTCCTCTTCCTGGGACTGTGTGTTCGAATCAACATAGGTGCCAGCCGCAGCCTCGAGGCCAGCTTATTGACTTAGCTGCTCTCTATCCACATATCTGTGTTTCAGCTTCTCAGGATCAGATGAGCCAGCATAGACTATGCTGATATTATTGCTCCTTCTCTGCCCTGTGCTTCAGAGAGGCAAATAAGATGGATGATATGGGGTTATAGTCTGTCTGGCCACACTCTCTGATAGTGGAAGGAAAAACAAAGGGTCCACCTCATGGTGCCAAACCGAGGACCTGCTCAGAACAGGTGTATCCCTTAAAACGCTGCCCTAGCCCATCTGCACTGCTCTAGCACTCCAGTAAAGACACTCTCCTGTTGGTGGGGACGGTTTCTCCCATGGGCATACTCCTCCTGGAGAAACTGACGAGAGAAGCTGTCCCATCAACCTAGCACTGTCTACATGGAGTCAGGCTGGTTTAACTATGTGACTGAGGGAGTGGATTTTTCACATGACTTGTGCTGATAAAGCTGTGGGGTGTAGAGCTGGCCTCGGATTAGATTACACCTCTTTCCTTGTGGGTTTTAATAAGCGGTGAAAGAGCTATCGAGGTTAATGTTCTAAAGCCTGGATTTGGGCACCTGAGTTACCATGTCACTGAGATTTTTGGGTCAGCTCCTGTCTCAGATACTGTTCCCAACTCTGGCAGAGCACTATGCTCTGCTCCGTTTTGAGGTTATTTGTTGCATCCCAAATAGGGGTTAGGCCAGGACTATGCTACAGACCTGCATCAGTTGTTAATGGGGGAGTGTTCTCTTTGATCTTTTCCATCCGTGGGTAGAATGAATTTTTATGTGCACAGGAGGCATGTGTGAATGTGCACTACCAGTAGAAACACCAAACCTAGCAGTGGATGTGCACTACCAGTAGAAACACCAAACCACTCTGCTAATCAGCTGGGCGGCATTTGAATCCTGAGGAGCCACATGAGTGCACAGGTTACGGGGAACACTGGTCACAGGTGTGAAAAATCCACATCCCTTAGCCACACAGTTATGCTGATCTAACCCACTGTGAAGCTAAATCTTCTTCTGCTGATGTATCACATGCCTCTCGGGGAAGGTGGGTCTACTGTGCGGACAGGAGCAGCTCTCCTGTTAGAATAGGAGCATCTTTGCTAAAGCACTGCAGCGGCACAGGTGTGCTACCGTAGTGCAGTATGTAAAGAGCAGCTTTTAAACTTTATTTTTAAATATGCTGAGGCTGGCACATGAGGACAGCTTGGAAGAGTTGCTAATACAGCTGCCTGTCAGCCCCATCACAGGCCTGGCTGGTGTCCCCTTCCTCAGCCCACATCTAATATAATTGAATACCAAAATGAAAGATTTGTCATGCTTCTGCTTTTGGGATGCATGCTGAGGCAGACTGGCATGGTCCTCTGGAGGAACTAAGCATGCTTAGCCTAGATAATTGTATACCTATTTGGATATTATGATTTGGATCAATAGGTATCAGTTTGGGTTATAGAAGAAACTTAAAGCAATAAAAACATCTCCGGATGAACATGAGGATATAAACAATAGCTGGAGGAGAATGTAATTTTGGAGATAAATGTCCATCAGGAATAAAACCATCCAGATTTGAGATCTCTGTGGTGGGCATCTATCTTTTCCATTGGAAAGGGAAATGGCCTGCTACACTGTCTGGCCACAAGAGGGAACTCTTGAGCTACTGCACACATGGAAAGATATCTGTGCCCTGAGGCTCCTTTCAGCAGGCTTGGCGGGGCCTTGCTCCTTTGGGAGGGGGATGCCCACCATTGATAAGTTTGCAACAGTGGGTCTTGATCTGTAGGACTTGAAATAGTAGCACAGGAAACAGTTGTGCTGCCGCCCTAAGGTGGGGGGCAGAAGTCTGGCCTCCAAACAGGCGGTGATCCGTCGTCTTCTGTGTGAGGATGTTTGTCAGCTGAGTTCACAAATAACAGCTGGGCGATGAAACCAGCCAGCAAAGGAAGTGTGTTGGAGATGCTTGAGCCAATAGGAAGCCCCACTCCTCTATTGAGAGCTCAGAAGTAGATAAGCGTTCCGGTTGCCCAAAGCCTGGAAGAGGGTAGTGGATATTTAGGTTGCTTCTATCTCCAGCGACTGTTCTTCTCTCTGCAGGGATGGAGATCATTACGATGCTTTAAGAGACTGCTTGAAGGCCATCTCCTTGAACCCAGGCCACCTGAAAGCCCACTTCCGCCTGGCCCGCTGTCTCTTTGAACTGAAGTATGTGGCAGAAGCGCTGGAGTGTCTGGATGACTTCAAGGGGAAGTTCCCGGACCAGGCGCATAGCAGCGCTTGTGACGCGCTGGACCGAGACATCAATGCCGCCCTCTTCTCGAAAAGTGATAATGGTGGGTGCTAGTGCTCAGCACAGTGTCTCTACCCTTTGGGTTGGAATCCAGCATATCCCAGGAAGGGGGCCTGGCCCTAACTTGCAACCCCTCTTTAAAGTGGGGCTCACTGAGATGCAAGCAGTTTTTTTCCATAGATTGGTTTGACTTCCTGACTGAAAGTTGTCACCATAACAGATGCCTGAAGGACTGTTCCAGCAGTCTGGTGACTTGCAGCCATTACTTGGTCACTTATGGAGAGTTCTAAGTTCTGTAGTGTATTATGTCTGTCCTTTTTGTGGAAAACCATCCCTTTCAAGAGAGATTCCTGGCTCCTGAGACTGCAGGTGGGGGGAGCCACTCCCAAACAATGAATTGGGGCTTATACATAGGGTTGACTTCTCAGCTATGGAGGAAGGTCCTGATGCCAGAGAACAGGGAAAGTATGGACAGCCGCAGTGCACGCGTCCTGCCAGTAGCTGTCACTTGGCCAGGGAAGACTTGCCCACCCCTGGCTGTGATTGGTTGGATCCTTGGTCTTTGGAGGCGAACAACAAGGGAGTCAGTTGGGAGATGGAAAACTGCCCTTAAATGGACTGATCCTAAGGTGAAGAGTTTGTAATCATTTTTGGTCTTGAGCTGCACATGAGCTCCAGAGTTGGTATTGCAAGAAGAGGGTTGAGGTAGAGAGGCGAGAAAGTGTGTGCGCTAAGTACCTGTCCTCTGGATAGACTGGCCTTGGCTCTCAACTAGCACTGTCACTTGAATGCCTCTCACAAATACTAACCTAGCTGAAGAATTCTCTGTTCCAACATGAGATGTGTGGAGGAAAATATCTCTGTGCTCTATCCTTCCAGCTGAAGACAAGAAAGGGGGCGGGCCAATTCGGCTGCGAGCAACCGGGCGCAAAGATTCCATCTCGGATGACGAGATGGTGCTCAGGGAACGCAGCTATGACTACAAATTCCGGTACTGTGGCCACTGTAACACCACCACAGACATCAAGGAGGCCAACTTCTTTGGCAGGTATGCTGACCTTGCATGGTAAGGGTTTGGGACTTCAGTTGCACAGAATGGCCGAGTGTTGCGGTTCAGTGTAGCTGTCATGATGTGGAGCCCCAGCAGGGGTGGCTATGAGAATATATTTTCACTCCTGGTCTGTGGGTTTTTTGACTGCTGAAGTGTCACTCCTCCTCCATGCATTAGTGGCTAAATAGTAGCTCAGCACAGAGATGGGACTGCTCATCACAACTTTTCAGTGCTCCAGCTCTTAGTGCCTAGCCATGTGAGTTCCAAGGATGGGAGAAATGACAAACTAAGGTTGTCCCCATTTAGAAACGTCCCTTTCCTTGCGGTGCTGGGACAGTGTTCTCTGACGCTGGAGGTGCTGGAGACCCATCTGGTTTTCTTGCTCTGGACTGTGCTGATGAGTCTTTAAGTGACTGGTGAAACCCATGTGCAAGAGTTTTCACACTAGCCAATTCCCTGAGCCTGTCCTTGCATGTTGGTGTGAATAAGGCTAACCCAGGCAGTGGTGGCTAACCGACCTCTCTGCCTAATGGACTTATCTGCTCCCACCTTTATCCTTCACACCCCTTGGAACAGCCGCCTGTTCCATGAATGTGAATCTTTGCAGTGTACAGAGCCTTCCTCCACCCTTTTCTTCTAGGCCTGATGCTGTCTCCTATAACTATCCTGTGATTTCAGCGGAACCCTTTGTTCTTTCCTTCCTAGCAATGCGCAGTACATAGTCAGCGGCTCCGACGATGGCTCTTTCTTCATCTGGGAGAAAGAAACTACCAACCTGGTGCGGGTGCTGCAGGGGGATGAGTCTATTGTGAACTGTCTCCAACCCCATCCAAGTTACTGCTTCCTGGCCACCAGCGGCATTGACCCAGTTGTACGGCTCTGGAATCCCAGGCCTGAGGTAAGAGCAGCAACAGAGCATCTATAAAGAGGCAGGATGAGGGGGTTTAGGACTCCATGCTGGAAGCCATTGTCCTGGGGCAGGCGAAAGATAAAGACTGATTACTGGGTATGGGATAGTTGGATGGATTTGGAGTGAGACTTGTGGCTTTTATTCTGGCTTTCCCATTTCACTCTGTGCCTGCCTCACTGTTCCAGTTTGCAGAAGGGAGAAGGACACTTGCAATTCAGTAATACTCTGAGAACAAATCTTGTGCATAGCAAAGTAGTGCAGGCAAACCCAGGGAGAACCAGCTTTGGATTTCTTGCCAAAACACTTGTTTTCCAGTGAGCTCCAGGTTAGGCTGTGGACAGGCTTTTCTGAACTAGGCCAGGTATGGCTGATCCAGGAAGATGCTAAGATTTTTGGGATGTTGGGGGGCAAGGGTGGCAAAACTGAGCAGGAAAGGCCTGGTGTTATAGGAAGGCTTGGAGCAGAGGAAAGATGTCTTGGTGAGGCTGAGGTCTAACTAGATCCAGGGGTAGCATAGTACAGGCTCTGCTCTCCAAGGTTTCCTGCCTTCTTTTCACTGGACTTCGCCAGTGTTCCTCCACTGGCCTGGAATGAGTCTCTTGCTTTTTCAGCACTCGTGGGTTGGCTTTTTAAAAACCCAAGTCTCCCGTTTTTAATGTGTCCAAAGGCAGGATGTTAGGGAATTAAAAAGGAGAATTGTCGAGGAGAGGAAGGGCACTTGTCACAGTCGGCACCTCAGCCTTTGCTTTTCTCCTTCTCCGCCCCATCTCAGAAACCCCTGCTGCAGCTCTGTGCTGCAGTATCCCATAGCATCTTGCCTGAGCTGTGAGTTTGATGCCCCAGCTGGCACAGCCCAGTTAGTGGGCCAGCAAGATGAAGCACAGGCAGCTGGGCAAAAATGTTTAAGGATGGCCAGCAGCAGGGCTATTGAGCCATTCTATCCAACCCCTACTGAAATCCTAGTTCAATATAGTCCCTGCCCCGTCTCTCCCTCTCCTTCCCCCCAACATGTGCATCAGACTGTTGGGCTTGTCATGTGAACATATACCCACTAGGGAGTGGACCAGTTCGCCAGTCTGTGTCACGACATGACTTTCACCCTGTATTCAGTGCAGGAGACCTGACCTTAAAGTTTCAGAAGGGAGTGGTAGAGATGAGCAAAAATCAGTCCTAGTGTTGCCTCGTGCGCCTGCCCTCCCCAAGCTGTCTCCTTTCTTGTTTGCAGACGGAAACCCTCAATGGGCGTGTAGTGGAAGACATGGAAGGTGCTTCCCAAGCTAACCAGAGACGAATGAACGCAGACCCCCTGGAGGTGATGTTGCTGAACATGGGCTACCGTATCACAGGACTGACCAGTGGGGGGGCTGGAGGCTCAGACGATGAAGACAGCTCAGAGGGGCAAGTCCAGTGCCGGCCCAGCTAAAGCAGAACTGCTTGTCCTTCCTGTAATTGTTTTGTTGAAGGGGAACCTGACTTCCTTGGTTCTAACCTTTCTCTGACTGCACTGTTTCACACTATGCACAGAGTAGGACAAGCTGGCAGGGGCAGGAGCGGCCTTCCCATCAAACCACCGCCACCACCTCTCCCTCTCCTCCCCGTCACACTACTGAGCAGCATGGCAATGCAGTCTGGGTTTGGCCTTTAGTGGAATTTAGTCCCTGCAGGGATTTTGAGTTGTCTGTGAGCAGTATAACCTGGTGACCTTCTCCAGTGTGAGCTGGAAGAAGGGGCAGTGGCTACATTCATGCGTTTGCAGAGGATTCTTAACATCCTAAATAAAATGTAAAACTAGGGCAGGGATTATGGAATGACTTTACTGCAGTGATCTTGATCCCTGAAGCTTGGCTTAGCTACTCTACCACCAGTCCGGGGTCCTTGGTCTTTGGCTGTTGGTCATAATGAAAAAATCTGTGTGGCCAACTAGTGTTCAACTGATCGCCACCTGTTAACGTATGGCCCTGGAAGGGGCTGTGTTTGCGTTTGCAATAGGTGGTGGCCAATCCATATCTCTGGGCATCTACCTTAGCTGATGAGTGAAAGGATACATTGAGTACATGCATTTGGGAGAGGGGGCAACCTGCCCTCCCAGCTCTAATATCCATTATTGTTCTCTTGGCTTGTGAACGCAGAGAGTAGAGAAAACAGGAGCGGGAGGATATTGGTCTGGGGTATGAGGCTTTGATGACTGCTGTGAGCAAAGCTACCAAGGAAAGTGGCTAATAGCCCTCTTCCAAGGCTTCCATCTCCTTCACCCAGAAGGCTTTCTAGAGCCATTTACCTTTTTCTCCTAGCACCTGTGCTCTGGTGTTGGGAATGCTGCTGTCGTGCACTATTGCATCTGGAGTTGGAGCTTCTAGAAGGTGAATTTTTTTTAGTGCAGCTAGCTTCTCAGAATCTCCACTACTGGCCACAGCTGAGGTGACCGCTCCCTGCCTCATCCCCAGGTGACCTCCCTCCTGTGCAACAAGCAGAGAGGAACGGTGGGCCAGTGATCCTCTCAGGAGCTCTCCTGGCTTTCCCCCACATTTTCCTTGCTCTGTGTCTGCAAGGGCAGGCCTGGTGCTTCATACCTTTAGAACACAGCACTGTATTTCCCACTCTTTTCCCCCAGGTAACTTGCAGCCCTGTGTCCCCTCTTGCCCTTACCAAACAGGTAATATCAAATTGATCTTACACGACTGTTTTTTATGACTATCATCTAAAACCAAAGAGCCCCTGGAGATTTTGCTACTTTCTTGCACTCTTTACCTTTTGCTGCTAAGGGTCTAAATACGCTACCATTGGTCCAGGAGTGTGGGGGTTGTGTCTGGGCACATCAGGGCCCACATCATGGAATCTCTGATCTTCCTGTACCTGTTGTGGAAGAGTGAGCGGCCCCTCCTTCCTCTCTGGCTGCCATGCATTGAAGGCAGGAATGGCTGGGTGATGGTTGATCAATGTGACTAGCTTTCCTCCTACCACCTCAGCGCACTTTTTACCTGCTTTTCTGTACAACTAGCATGAGCCAACTGTGACCTAAAGGTTTGTGGTCTATCCCATGGTCTGCCCCCTTTATAGTGTAGGATGTACCCTGTGGCGTTTAGTGGGCCCCCAGCAGGCAGTGCTCCATCTTGCACCTGCTGTAATGAAGGTGGAGCTAGCTGGGACCATGTCATCTCTGCCTTTAAGGCAAAAAGCAGGTAATGTCTGCTCCGTCTTACACAAGGGAGGCACAGCCCTGATGTTCTCTAGGTCACTGGGAAGACTGAGTGTCCTTGTACTCCTAAGAGCCTCAGGGGACTAGGACAGAGGGTTGTCAAGTAAACATAACCTCAGATTTTCTTCAATCCAGACAGGACTTTCTGGGGACAGGCCATCACTTGGTGGAGGAGGGGGCTTATGCCTTTCCTGTTCTTGCCTGCTTGGGTTTTTTTAACCTACCACCAATGTGGTAAACCTGACTCTTAACACAGTTGTGACCGTTCAGTTGTATACAGGCTACTCCCAACAGCAGTGTGCCGATATTCCCAGGTGCTCAATGTTAAAAACCCCGGGGCAGCAGAAAATGGCTTACTGGTTTGGTTTTTTAAGTGGCCTTTCTTTTTTTTGCCTAAAATATTCATATAGACTCATCTTTCTTCTCCCTCTCCTTAAACTTTGCAGGCTTTCACTAAATACATCTTTCAACTTTTTTTAAATTTTTTATTCTATTGAGATCTATTGAGATTGGAAACTCTGAAGACAACAGAACCACATGCTCTCCTGGGGTTTCTCTTTCCATTCAGTGTATGCCATGGCAGCTGGCTTTTCGAAGCACCGGTGTAGCTCTTCTACCTGCCATCTGCAGTGTGAAAGCAAAAGACTTCCTGCTTCTGCAGTTGATAGCTTTTTTTAATGGCTGCTTTGATTAAAAAGAAAAAAATAATAGTGGGGTTGAAAGGAGGAGTCCTAGCCACACCTCCTCATTTTGAACAGATTCCATATTTATTGGTGAAGGAAAAACATCCTGGGAGAAGAGATGTTGCTTTTATTTACCTTTGCTATTTTCTTCTACCCTTCTTGAAAAGAAGTCCCTCCCTTTTTTGGTTAACTCTTTCTAACTGAGGATAGGCAGAGATTGCTCCTTTTATTTTTGTATTTTTTAGCAATGGGAATCTCCTTAGACACTCTAAGATGTCTTTGCAATATGCAAAGGAAACTGCTCATAGCTTTTTAAATATTAGAGATGACAGTCTGCCAACCTCTGCCCCTGCAGTTCTAGAGATAACATGCAGGCCTTCCTGTCCTCATTAACAGGAACAGACTGTCTGTTTCTCTGGTCCCTGGAAGAGAAAGGGTTAAGCAATTAAACATTTTTGTTCTAGTTCTTTTTGGTGTCATTTGTTCACGGGATTGTGCTGCCCTTGTTTTTTTCCGCCTATACCATTGCCTGTGTTTGGCGGGGAGGGGGAGAGAAACAGCTGACTTGAGGATGACTATTAAATAAACACATTAGGCAGGCTCCTGCCATCTTAGGGGAGGGTATAACAGAAGTTTTTCTAAGAGAGCCAGTAGTGACTATCGTCAGTAGTCCTCAATGGATGAAGAATAGGGATGTGAAGGAGTAACTGGCTCCCCAGGAGTAGCCCCACGGGCACAGGGCTGCTCCAGCTGAGCTGGAACGTTCCCCCGCCTGGGATCCTGCTTAGTTAGTTAACAAGGTAACCTAACGTTTAACCATTTAACTGAGTAACTGGTGTTTTACATTCCTAATGTAGAACTGACTGCTACTGTGGAGTGGGAGGCGCCGTTGCTGTCCTGCAGAGTGGGAGTTGTGCCTCACCTTGGGCACAAAATGGGAACAGAAACCTCCTGCCTAACTTGATCTCCAGAAATTCTGACAAAAATATCCTGGGGCTTCAGCTGTATGGGCTACACAGGACACTTAGTGGAGGGGACTAACTGGCCTGCTGGTGAGATTGCCCTGTGGAAGGATGTGTGATTGTTTTAACCTAGTTATGTCTTCTAAAGAGACATGCTAGCTTGAGGGAAAGGGAAGCTCATGTCTTGTGCCAAATTCAAAGGTAGGTGGGAGGGCCCCACTCTGGGGCAGAGGGGTGAAGATGGTGAAGGAATTGAACTGTTACTTCTGCCAGGGGAGGAAATGGAACTCTTGAAATTCTTCTTCAGTGGCCCCCTGTGTCTGAAGGAATGAGTTCAACTGCTCCAGGTGCTGGGAGGTGTCTGCTTCACTCCTTCCTCAGCAACTGAGCTGGCTTTGCTTTCTGGTACTGGAAGCACCCTGTAAAAGCAGATTTGCCACCTTGAGATTATCTGTAGGGGAGTTTTTAAACTATAGGACTGGGGAAAGCTGACAGGTGTGGCGGAGCACATGGATCAGACAGAGACATCTCTTAGGGGAGGGTCTATTAATAGAGATTCTCTGTTCTAGTATGGAGGAGAGGATGGAAGAGGATAAAATATGTGTAAGATCAGATGAGAAACAATCAAAAAAGAGTGCCATTCAATCTCGTCAGGAAATAGCAGACAGCTAAATAGTGACAAATTTTTAAAGTGCTTGTATACAAATGCTAGAAGTCTAAAGATGGGTGAACAAAAGTGCTTCATATTGAAGGAGGATATTGATATAATAAGCATCGCAGAATTTGATGGAAGGAGAACAGTCAATGGGACCCAGTCATACCAGGGTATAAAATATATCAGACACACAGAACAGGTCATGCTGCGGGGGGAGTGGCACTATACGTGTAAGAAAATGTAGAATCAAATGAAGTAATCTTAAATGAACCATAAGGTTCCATAGAATCTCTATGGGTAGAAATTCTGTGGTCTGATATGGCAGTAGGGCTATATTACAACCACCTGACCAGGATAATGATAGTGACAATAAAATGCTAAGGGAGATTAGAGAGGCTATAAAAATAAAACACTCAATAGTAATGGGGGATTTCAACTATCCTCATGTTGACTGGGTACACATCTCCTCGGGATGGGATGCAGAGATAAAGTTTCTTGACACCTTAAATGACTGTTTCTTAGATCAGCTGGTTCTGGAATTACAAGAGGAGGGTTTAGTCCTAAGTGGAGTGCAAGATCTGGTCCAAGAGGTAAATATAACTGGACCACTTGGAAATAGTGACCACAATGTAATAAAATGTAACATCCCTGTGGTGGGAAAAACACCACAGCAGTCCAACACTTTGGCATTTAATTTCAGAAAGGGGAACTACACAAAAGTGAAGTTAGTTAAACAGAAATGAAAAGGTACAGTACCCAAAGTAAAATTCCTGCAAGCTGCATGGAAACTTTTCAAAGACACCATAATAGAGACCCAACTTAAATTTACACCCCAAATTAAAAACCACAGTAAGAGAACCAAAAAAGTGCCATTGTGGCTTGGCTTAACCAAGTAAAAGAAGCAGTGAGAGCTGAAAGGACATTGTTTAAAAAGTAGAAGTTAAATCCTAGTGAGTAAAATAGAAAGGAGTATAAACTTTATCAAACTAAGCTTAAAAAGGTAATCAGAAAAGGGGTTTGAAGTACAGCTAGCCAAAAAACTCAAAGCAATAGCAAAAAGTACATCAGAAGCAGGAAGCCTGCTAAACAATCAGTGAGGCCACTGGACTATCTAGATGCTAAAGGAACACGGACAAATTAAATACATTATTTGCAATCTTCGTGGCTGAGGATGTCAGGGAGATATCTAAACCTGAGCCATTCTTTATAGGTGACAAGGTCCCTCACCAATGGCTCTTAAGTAAAGTAAGTTGACATGGGATAAGAGGGAAGGTCCTTTCATGGACTGATAACTGGTTAAAAGATAGGAAACAAAGGGTAGGACTAAAGGGTCCATTTTCAAAATGGAGAGAGGTAACTAGTGGTGTCCCCCAAGGGTCCATATTGGGACCAGTCCTATTCAACATATTTATAAAGGAGAAAGGGGTAAACCAGTGAGGTGGCAAAATTTGCATGTGATACTAAACTGCTCAAGATAGTTAAAACCAAAGCAGACTGAAGAGCTTCGAAAGGATCTTATGCTAGCTGATTGGGCAGCACAATGGCAAATGAATTGTAATGCTGATAAACCTAAAGTAATGCACATTGGAAAAAATAATCCCCCTTATACTTACAAAATGATGGACTAATTTAGCTATAACCCACTAAGAGAGAGATCTTGGAGTCATTGTAGGTAGTTTGACTGCAGCAGCAGGGGGAAAAAAAAGGAAACAGAATTTTAGAAATCATTAAAAAAGGAATAGTCTGTCTTATTCTCTATCTTACTGCCTCTGTATAAATCCATGGTATGCCCATATTCTGAATAATGCATACAGATGGGGTTGCCTCATCTCAAAAAAAATATTGGCATTGGAAAAGGTTCAGAAAAGGGCAACAAAAATGAGTAGGGGTTTGGAATGGGTCCCATATGAAGAGAGATTAAAAAGACGGGGACTTTTCCATTAGAAAAGAGGAGACTAAGTGGGGATATGATAGATGTCTATAAAATCGCGACTGGTGTGGAAAAAGTGAATAAAAGTTATTTACTTATTCCCATAACATAAGAACTAGGGGGTCACCAAATGAAATTAATAGGTATCAGGTTTAATACAAACAAAAGGAAGCTTTTCTTCATACCACGCAGTGTCAATCTATGGAACTCCTCGCCAGAGCATGTTGTGACTTCAATAGAGTTCAAACAAGAGCTAGATAAATTCATGGCAGATAAGTCCATCAATGGCTATTAGCCAGGATGGGTAGGTATGGTGTCCCCATCCTCTGTTTGTCAGAGGCTGGTGACAGGAGAGGGAGCACTTGGTTACTTGTTCTGTTCGCTCCCTCTGGGGCATCTGCCATTGGCCACTGTTTGGATGACAGGACACTGGGCTAGATGGACCTTTGGTCTGACCCAGTATGGCCATTCTTATGTACCTAGTGCATTAAAGCTGGGCAAAATCCAGAGTTGTGCCCTCTCCAGCGAACATTAGGAAGCTGTTTCCTTCAGAATGCGTGCCAGACAGTCTCCTACCCCTTCCTCTGTGCTGCTTTCAACACCACCTTGCAGCCACCAGCTCAGTGCAAGGACAATGCCATCCCGAGCTCTGGAAACTGCCCTAAGCTGAGACCTTGGCAGTGATTTCTTGCCATTTTAGGGGCCCACTGATTCCATGCTATATCCTTGGGCTGATATGTGCAATCTGAGATGTCTCTGTAATAGCCACCTCTGCTCTGACAGAGCACAGTGAGCTCAGCTGCATTCTGAGTGGCAGGCAGTACCAATCCCAGTTGTTACGGACGCAAAATCTCTGCTGCCTTCTACCCCTTACCCAGTAACTGGATTCTACAGGAAAGCCAGTTCATCTCCTCCTTCGTACTGTGGTAGTGATCCTGTCCTGCTTACTGCCCTGAGCGAAAAGTTATAGGAATGCAGCATGTAAATTAGGGATGGGACAGTTTAACCATGTATACAGTTACAGGCAGGCTCCTGCAGAACTGCTTCGCCCCCTCCTCCTCTCCCCCTCCCCCCCGCCTCTGTATCAGAGCAGGTGGGAGCCGATATGCAAGGGGAGCCGGCTTTAGCTGGCTCTCGGTGTGCACCGGCTCCTGGGGAGCTGACTGCCACCCTATGTATAACCATGTAAATGCTGAAATTGTCAACAGTTACACGGTTACTTAAACACATTTTAACATCCCGAATGTAAATAGCCCCAGGAGTTGGAGAGCACCTTCCCCTTCAACAGCAGACTCTTTAACCCCCAACTACTGAGGGCTTTTTCCTACCTACATTTTGACTTACAGGCTACTGTACGTTTGAATAATTCAAACCGTTCTGATGTTGCTGTGAATGACAAGAGTTTGTCACAAGACTTTTCTTACCTCGCCTTATACAGGAAAATATCTGCTTCTGTCAAACAGCGAGCAAATCCCAGCTTCCTAGGGCCAGTTCCTGAGCGATGCACAGTACCCATGGCTTTGCCAGAGTTGCGGGGGTTCAGTACTTTCCAGGGTCAGGCATTTGGGTTGTTTGTGGTCCTCAGCCCTAGTGTGAAATAGCTGTCCAACCACCTGACTTCCCTTTTCTCCCTCTCACATCTTTCATCTGCCTGTTTATTAAAAGATCCAGCTCTTCAGCACTAATCTTAAGATATAGGCTCAGGCTCTGCTACTGGCTAACCAGAAAATTGAACCTCCTGGAAATGTGCTGTTACTCAACCCCCACTCTGCACTCAATTATAGGCTCAGGTTATTAAAATTAACTGAATCTTGAGTTCTCACAACCTTCTACTAGACAAAAGCAATCATAGACTTTAAGGTCAGAAGGGACCATTATGATCATCTAGTCTGACCCCCTCTCACAGTGCAGGCCACAG